CTTGCTAATACCCATTACCCTGAAAGCCTTAATTTTGATGCACGATTATGTTTTGTTTTGTTTTTTAAACTTTCTTCCCATAAGGGGAAGGAACAAAGCAGGTGAGCAGAACGGAATACCATGTGTGTTCACTTTGCTTTCTGAGGAAAGGAAAAATCTCAGAGAGCAGCCATGTTTGTGTTTGCATTGTTCTCTGCCTTCTCCCCAGTCTCCCATTTTCATGGTAAGAAAAATAAGCCCTGCACTTTGAGAAGATGAAACAAGTTCAAGAGCTTCTTAGCCAATATTCCCTTGATAACAACTTAATGGTTTCTGTTAGACTTTTTCCAGGTTATATAAACCAACCACCTAGAATGCTGACTTGGTGTAAGCAGAGTAAACCAAAGGAAAAGCCAGTTAGAATGTATTAGTGAGGCATTTGTTCTTAGAAAAATCACAGTTGGTCTTTGTAATGCAGAAAAAGTCCACAGCACCATCACCTGGGCAAGGGTTCCAACCTTTAGCATGACTTTAGTCCTAATAGACTGCAGTGATCTGAAGTCATCCTCTGTATTTCCAGCCTGGTTCCAGCTTTTTCTGTTGGTTGTGCCTATAGAAAATGAAAAAAAAATGCAACTGATTCATAATGTAAAGATTACTTTGTTCTTAGAGATTTTTGGATCTGATTTTAAAATCCCAGAAGCTAGTGCTGCCTTTTGAAACAGCACATTGCTTGACACAAAGTTTAAGTTCACTTTGGTAGCCAAGAAAGAACCTAACACACCAAGTTCTTTCTGAAATGTCCTCAAAGCCTTCCTAAGAACAGAGAAATGCTCTTCCAATCCTCCCTCCCCCAAATCATTGCATTTTCTTTCAGTTTACCACTTTATACAGTGATCAAATTATATAGTGACCATTTTTGTATACCAGTCCATAGGACTGGAAAAAGTCAGTTTTCATTCCAATCCCAAAGAAAGGCAATGCCAAAGAATGCTCGAACCACCACACAGTTGCACTCTTCTCACACGCTAGTAAAGTAATGCTCAAAATTCTCCAATCCAGGCTTTAACAATACATGAACCATGAACCTCCAGATGTTCAAGCTGGTTTTAGAAAAGGCAGAGGAACCAGAGATCAAACTGCCAACATCTGTTGGATCATCGAAAAAGCAAGAGAGTTCCAGAAAAACATCTATTACTGCTTTATTGACTACATCAAAGCCTTCGACTGTGTGGATCACAATAAACTGTGGAAAATTCTGAA